TAACATAATGAGATACCATTTTTCACCTATCAGCAAGACTTTTTTTTTTTTTTTCAATAAATCTCACTTTAGGCCAAAGAGTAGCAGAACAGGCACCCTTACTCATATGTTTTGAAAAGAATGTAAGTGGAAACCACCTTTCTGCGAAGTGCTTGGCCATGTGTACCAAAGCATTTCATTCTTTCACTCTACAAATATATCCATTAGGTGCTCAGCCCATGATGAGACACAGCCCTTGCCCTCACAAAGGCAACCTTTAGGAAGAGACTCTAAACAAGTGATTGCTTATCACAACTGAACATGTGATTAAAACTGTGCTAAGTGTTACTAAACAGAAGGTGTTCTGAGGTAACTTAATAGTCACACCTGATTTGGGGGATGGGGCAGGACAGATGAGGTCAGGAAAAAAATGACATTTAAGCTAAGATCTGAGGGAAGACGAGGAATTAATTAGGTAAAGCTGGGGTGGGGGAGGGGAAATGGGGAAGGAGAGAAGACTGGATAGACACAGGGAACTACATATACAAAGGCCCTGAAGCAGGAAGAGGCAAATCCATAGAAATACAGAAACTGAAAACAATGCTTGTTTGGCTTGAGCTCAGGGAGAGGGATTGAGCTGGGCCTTTCATACCACAACAAAAATTCTGGTCTCTAGCCTATGGGTAATGGGAAGCCATTTAAGGGTTTTAAGCAGAGAAATGAGATTAGATTTGTTTTTTAAAAAACTGTCTGTGGTTTCAGTATGAGGAAAGGCATGGGGAGAGAGGGCGGTGGGTGCAGAGAGACTAGAGATGAGGCTACTACAACCATGGAGGTGACAGAGAGCAGGGCGATGCTGACTACAGGATGGCTGTGGACACAAAGAGGAGCAGGTGGATACTGCATCTTTAGGATATAAGTCATGGAGTCACAAGACATCATTTGAAAGAGGCAATCAGAATGACTCAGAGGTTTCTGGTGTAAAGAACTTAACAGATTGCTACTGTTGATAATGTCCATACTCTTTGACCTGGTAATTCTCCTTCTAGGAATCTATCCTAAGGAAGTAATTAGAGACTTGGACAAAATTTGTTTGCAAAGATGTTCACTAGTCTTATTTATAATGTAAAACTTGTAAGCAATCTAATAATCAAAATAGGCAAATTTTAAAATAAATTACGATACTACCAAACAATGAAATATTAGGTAGCCATTTAAAAGTCACATTTAACGTCAAGAGAAGCTGTTCCGAATAAGTAAAAAAAAAAAAAAAAAGCAGGCTCTGAAAATTAATATAACTTTATTTTTAAAATACAAAAAGGCCTGCATGGACATATACGAAAGTGTAACTAGTGATTATCTCTGGGTAGTGGGACAGATGTTTTTAAATCTGGAGGGGGCCTTTCTACTTTTTCAATTTTCTTTACAATGAAGAAGTCACACTTTTTATTTTTAAATTATTTCTATTTTAAAATAACATTTGTTGAGCATTTACTATGTCCTAGGCACTATTATAAATGCTTTATGCATATGAAAGCATTTAATTTTGAAAATATTTCTAACACACAGAAAAGTTAATTGACTTGCCCAAGCGTCACACAGCCAAAATTTTAACCCATGCAGGCTGACTCCAGAGTCAGCTCTCTTATACCATTACCCCATACAGCCTATGGAAGTATTGCATTTATACTCAGCGAAGTAACTTTAAAAAGATCAACTTATCAAGACAACCCACAGAATGGCAGAAAACCTTTACAAGTCATATATCTGATAAGAGTCTAGTATCCAGAATACAAAAAGAACTCATAAAACTCAACAACAAAAAGACAAAAATCTCAATTAGAAAATGAGCAAAGGATTTTAATAGACATTTTGCCAAAGAAGATATACAAATGGACAATACACACATAAAAAGGTGCTTAATAGTACCCGTCATTCAGGAAACACAAATCATAACTAATAGGTAACACTTCACATATGCTAGAATGGCTATAATTTTAAAAAATGGAACAAGTTGGCAAGGATGTGGAAAAAATTGGAACTTTCTTACATTAATGGTGGGAATATAAAATGGTGCAGCTGCTTTAGAAAACAGTTTGGCAATTCCTCAAAATGTTAAACATAGAGTTACTGTATGACCCAGCAATTCTATTTCTAGAGGTATACCCGATGTTCATAGTAGCATTGTTTGTAATAGCCAAAAAGTAGAACAACTCGAATGCCCATCAACTGATGAGTAGATAAACGAAATGTACACATCCATACAAGAGAAAATTATTCAGCAATGAAAAGAAATTAAGCACTGATACATACTACAACATGGATGAACTCTGAAGACACACTAAGTGAAAGAAGCCAGGCACAAAAGGTCAAATATTGTATGATTCCATTTACATATGTCCTAAATATGCAAATTCATAGAGACAGAAAGTAGATTAGTGGTTGCCAGAGCCTGGGGGTAAGGCAGAATGGAAAATGACTGCTTAAGGGGCACTGGGCTTCTTTATGGGATAATAAAAATGTTCTGGAATTAGATAATGATGATGGTTGTACAACACTGTCAATATACTAACAACCAGTGAATTGCGTACTTATCCTTTTGCCTCGGCCTCCCTCCCGAGTAGCTAGGACTACAGGTGCATGCCACCACACCTAGCTAATTTTATTTTTTTGTAGCAATGGGGTCTCGCTATATTGCTGCTCTCGCACTCTCAAACTGCTGGGATTACAGGTGTCAGCCACCGCACCCTGCCTGCCAATGAATTGCATATTTTTAAATGGCAAAAATGCTAAATTTTATGTTACGTGAATTTTATTTGAATAAAAAAAGAACAAATTATCTTTACTTAAAAACTCAGAGTAGGCCGGGTGCGGTGGCTCACGTCTGTAATCCTAGCACTCTGGGAGGCCGAGGCGGGCGGATTGTTTGAGCTCAGAGTTCGAGA